GTACTACTATTCCTACTTTGTGGTTTTTCACTTATCACGGGTCTTCAGGGTACGGATCCCCCGTGATAAACGAGGGACTACTGTATCTACAATCAGTATTAGCCAAGATGTCTGCAGAGATGTGGTGCAACTATCTTTTAGGTTGCTTAAGAAAACGCAAGGTGCTCTGTTTGCATTGAAAAAATATTGGCCAAAAAGGTTGCGAATTTGCGAATTAAGTCAAAATATTAGCTTGAATTTAGCACAAAGCACCTCAAAGTTTCCAGTGGGTTGGCAGCAGCCGAAGTCTAAAATAATTTTAATGGACATCAAGTTGAAAAATACATGAATGAATTAAAAATGTGCAGCAGCACTAGCTGATTGTTGACACTGTGCTTCATGCTAACATGCTAACACAGACACACAGCTGCTCAGAAGTAGACATTTCATGTGTTTATGAGTTTTATTTATATCTTAGATGAGTGTTCCTCAACCCATAAAAACAGCAGTGTTTTTGCAACCATGTGATACATGATGACATGCAGTTTGTGTTGATGCTGTGCAGAATGTTGTGCTAGTAAAGGTTTAGCACAGGGGTCTGCAACCTGCGGCTCTGGGGCCACATGTGTCTCTTTGGTGCCTCTGCAGCGGCTCTTTCAGGCTTTGACCAAAACTAAATTAAAACTGAATTTTATTTAAATTATTACCAACAATAATAAATGGCTAGTTTTAGCAGATGTCCTGTCATTTTCAAATATGTGAAGGATAGTACAAATGGCGTAAAATGTGGACACCATGCTAGTAGTTTAACCACTTTAAGTCAACTTCCAGTCTCTCAGTGTGATCTTTCTCTCCAAACCAACAGAATGTTTTGGAATATCTGAAGAATAAAACACAAAAAACAAAGTCAAAATAAAAAAAGTCTTTATTTTTCTTTAAAAATGTAATTGGATACTCAACAAACTGGCCTAATTTTATACTGTATTTAACTTTATGTTTTAAGTAGGATAGTTAATTCTTCAACATTTAAGAGAGCTCACATCAGTCTGCAGAGTTCAGTGTTTTAATTTGTATAAAATTGTAAAAAACATATATTTTGTTTTTCTTTACATGAATCTGGTCTTTTCTTTTGTATTAAAATTGAAAAATATCAGTTAATGTTATTAATAGATAAGACATTTTTCATTTTAAAATATCACCCCCTTTGGTTGCAGTCCATCTCCAACAAACTTGTGGTCCATGGGCCACCAGTTGACAGTACACAGTTGTCACAGGTTTTGCAGCTCTGCACATAATTCGTAAGCAAAGTGTCAAAAATGGATATTTTTATCACAAAGGTTGCAGACCCCTGGTCTAGCAGGTTGGTTATTTTATACGTAATTAACACTATAAAAGAAAAGTAATTCAGAGGGGTTGTGAATGTCACCCGTTAGGCCAAAAGTATACATTTTTGAAAAAATAAATAAATATATAAGGTACACAGCGCACATTTATGAAGCACATTTTATTTTGTATGTATCTTATTATCATATAATATAATATTAATAACCTTTCAAACATATTTTGTAAATTTACATGAGTGCAGCACTTCTTTGTCTTTTTAAAGTCAAACTTGTGGTGAACTTTTTACAGCTCCTACAGTAAACACCCGAGCACTGAGCATCAGCTGCTTATACTGGTTGGAGTGAATAGTTTTTTTCTGTGTTCTTGTGATGAGCAAGTCTGACACTTTTTTGTATTTTTTCAGACTTCAACTCATCCCTGCTAACCAACATTTAGAACATTGTATAAGGCTAAAACAGTCTTTTAGTAATATTTTCCTGCATTTTGGGCTTCAGCTACAAACATTTTCTGAATAGATACCTCCCTGCTGGAATGTATTACTGATGCAAATTTCACATTATCAAAGGTATTTTCAAAAATAACTGGCTTTTCTTAAGTAATATTTAGAAGATGTATTAAACTATATATTGGCAAAGATCTCGATAATTTGAGTATTCAAATATCTATAAAACATAAAACTTTTCATTGGGTTACATTCTTAATTTAATTTTATGTAAAACAAATGTAAAGAATAAGAATGTATTTAGCACATTTCTTGAAACTCAAAATCACTTAGAGGGTCCAAGTTTAAACAAATGTAGGAAAAAACATAAAATAATACAATTTTGCATCTGTTTTTGGAAATACTTTTATACGTTTATACTTTTTTTTTATTTGATTTGATAGCATATATTTTGGAAAGGATGCTTAGACTGTTAGTAACCATAAATCACTCTGTGCTGCATTTGTTTTCATAAAAGGTTCAGTATAAATTATAAATCACATTTTAGCCAAATCCTCTGAAGTGGATTTGCTACACAACACCACAATGCCCTTCAATATTCCAACCTGAAATTTCATAAAATAAAACATCCCTGTTGATCTTGGACATGTATTTTATGTGTTAAAAGGGACACTGAGTATAAGGGGATGCAACTATCTTTGGACCAAATGAGCCCCACCAAACCAGCCTTTCCGTACGCTGACAGTCACAATGAAGACAGGAAGAGCACCAAGACCCGTCTGACCCAGTCAAAAGCTAAAGCGAGAGTGTCACCTTATCCACAGGTAAAGGAAGGATTTACTGATTAAATAAGCAAATGGATTTGTTAGCCTTAAATATTTCAGAACTGTGACTTTGTGTCTTTTCAGCAATTTTCAGCTTTGAATCCAGAGCGTTCTGAATCTGACCAGGACAGCCAGTGGGGAGGGAGCCCCCTGACCGATTCCGCTTCTCCTCAGTTGTTGGATCCCAGTGAGACTGCAGAAGCATCTTGCGCCTACAGACTTTATCCAGACTCGAGTTCCCTGTGCGATGGTCTGGGCTTATCTGAAGACGATCTCTCCCGTGCCCAAGCTCGTCCCCTCTCCACCACCTGTGATCGTGTCCGATGCCAAAGTGGCCGCTACTTTCTGGGAACGCCTCAGTCGGGCAGAGAGATGTGGTGGGACACCACACGCTCTGTGCTCTCACTTCCAAAATTCTCAGCCGTGAACAGCGAGGGCTATGAAATCACATCCTACAACGGCGCCATTCACGGTGAGGTGTTAGGGTTGAGACCACAACCATCTGTCTCTGAAAATACTTCTGGCCTTGTTTCTCCTGGTAGCTGTTTTCCAAATGTTATTATGGGACATGCTAAGTTGTTTACGCCGTCCCTTGCCAGTGAGCCGATTGCTACCATCTGTTCAGAAATTGCATGCAATTGAAAGCCAAGTTATTTCACATTTCACATCCTCAAACTGTAAAACAACCCCCAGTGAGCTTCTGCCAAGACATCAGATCATGATTCCATATGCACTGAAAACAAAATTTCACACATTAACCATGTGTGCGTCTATAATAGAAGGCATTTATTTATTTCATTGTCCTGACTTGTGGCCAATAATTTCTCTCTGCAGGACGGGGCCACTGGGATGAAGACAGCATAGTGAGCTCACCTGATGGAGGTGGATCCACCAGCGATTCTGGCGAGCGTTACCACGGTGACCAATTCCAAGCAAGCCCCCGAGAGCCAAGCAAGATGGAGACCCTGATTCGAGCCACTCAGCAAATGATCAAAGAGGAAGAGAGCCGTTTGCAGCAGCAAAAGGTTCTCCTGGACGTCTCAGGACTCACCAAAACTCACAGTCCATGTTTCCCTTCCTCCCTACCCCATCACTCTCAACTCCCTATGCCTAGTGTTGTGTGCCGTGGTCCCGGAGCCCCCAGCATGGACCTTTCATATGAGCGCCTCCACCACAGGGACAGCATCAAATTGCTCGGGCCTCATGACAATGATGAAAACACAACCAGTCCTGCTTCTTTGTCTCGACTCAGCAGCCCTGGCTCTGATGGAATCCCCAGATCAGGCCTTCCTCTCACCAAAGACTACATGCCAACAGATCTGTCCCCCCACCCTTCTCAATCCCAGGTGAGTCCGCTCCTCTATCCAGTTCAGGAGAGGCAGCCACTGGACAGGCAAGCAGCTTATGCCTTGGCCGGGTATTCCCTGGAGCACCTCTACGACCCAGAGAACTTGCGAAGTTACTCCAGCTTGGCGTGTGGAGGAGTCCAGTACGATGTGGCATCTCATGTTAGAATGCAGGCTGAGCAGATACAGGGACACAAGGCAACCTCAGTTATCATAACCAACGGCAGCTGACGATATCTGGTTCAGATAGGTCATGTTGTCTAAACCAGGACATTGGATTTGGTGACGTATGCGTAAGCATCACTGAGCAGGTGTTCGACACAAAAACTGACAAGAGGATTCAAGGCACCTATGTTGGACTCATGTCCCCTTGGAGGTCCATTCATCTCTACTTGTAAAGACCAGGCCTCCTGTCTTAATCCACATAAATTGTTATTCCAATGCTAAAAGGAACTGTGTTTTGGAATTATAATTTGATACGCCACCTGACGAGGTTTGCTCCATAACAGGAAAAAGCTGTACTTTATTAGTGGTGAACTAACACTCCCTCCCTCTCTTCCTCCCCACATTAAAGGCTGGTTAAACATCAATCAAGTGTTTCTGTCCCACTCCTCTCACGCACCATTGACCACCTGAGTTAATCAGTCCTGGACGTGATTTCCAAAGGCAGTAGGAAAATGTGCTGTTCCATTGCCCTTTTACCCGAGAACTCCATCGCACAAAAAATAATGTTTGACACATTAGGTGTCAAAAAGACAGACACAACATCAAAAAGACAGAGAGAAGCATTTTGCTGTTGTACGATGTCAATGTTTAAGTATTTCTTTGTCAGTGGGCTGTTTCCTGCATGTGTCACTATTCTGTTGGTGTAGAACGTTTTCTGAAGGATTTAAATTAGTTTTAGTGTTTGGATCGCCCCCATTACTTGATTATTTTTTTAAAAAGTATGTAAAGGTGAAAAACAATGGGGAAACTGGTGAAAGAATTAAATATGCAGGTGAATATGACAAGGAAAAGCCTTTGTTAAGTGATTCTGACCTAACCCATTTGTCACATATTAGCATGTAAAAAATGAACTCGGTGAAAAATAACAGTTTTTGCATATCGGATCATTTTTTTCTTATTTTAATTTAAATTTATTTTTGTTGCACAACTTGACTTTCAGGCGTATTGTAGAATATGCTGTGAAATCTTTAAATTATTCTCCACGTGCAAATTTTTTTTTGCAGAGAGCGGCAAACAAGGGTTAAAATGATTGATCCAAACATATCTTTAAAAAAGATGAACGTCTTTCGTTTTCTTATTTATGATGTAAATACAGTATGATTTACTCAACGAACTTTTGCAAACGAGTGACGAGATTATTTATGAATTGGTTCAAAATGACTCAATTTTGAAACAGGTAAACATAATTTGTTTGTTTGTTTGTTTGTCCCAATAAACACACACAATGCTGCTGCCTCAAAAAGCTGGTATTTAGATATAATGTACATAAAGATTATGTATAGTGTCTATAGGTTTAATAGTTGTGTATTTTCTGGGTTTTATTGTACTTACTAGTGCTTTATTTTGCAAAATACAACCGAAAAACAAAATCGGCTAAAGAAAAAAGTGTCTCTATTCTGTTTTTTTTTTTTTTCTTTCTTGTTTTACGTCGAAACCAAAATCAGCATTGTAAGGAATAAAGTCACTAATTTTTTAAAAATTATTTTAGTCTTATTGTAAGACTGTTCAATTGCGCAAAACAGTTACATTTTAGGCAAGTATTTTGCTGCACAATAAATCTTCGAGCAGCTGTCAATCTCCAAGTCCTTGGATTATGTATAAAGTAAAATTACTACAGCTTTAATGTTGAGCCAGCTAGGAGATTTATTGGAAATCTACTACTGTATTCATATGAACATCGCCAGTAGTTGTTAGCAATTATTTCCCACATGTGTGGTGGAAAAATCGCAAATTTGATTTGAATTTAATTTGTGCATTCATCATAACGTGGCACCTTGTGACTCGGAAAGACGTAGGTTTTCTAAAAGCTGTAAAAATACACAAATATTTAGTCTGGCATTTAAAAGAGGGAAATTTGTCGCAGCTATGTTGTTCAAAAATCCAGAACATATCATTACAACAGCAAAGCACCACTTTAAGTTTTCTAGGCGCTTGCAGCAACACGTTTTCTCCGTTTGAAGCAGTGGGACTTGCATATTTTGCCGCTCTGAACTTTGCTCTGGGGCAGTTCTCCAGTTTTTTAATGTATGCAAGTCACTCACATGCAAAGGTGGAGAACTTGCCTGCCTGACCGTCGGAGCAAAGAGAGAGAGAGACCTGGACACAGTTGTGGCCTAAATATACAGACCTCTCATCAGTCACTGCTGACGTGACTTTGTGATGGTCTGCCAGATATCCCTGCTGCTGTCATTACAGGAGGCAAAACTGCTTTAACACTCAGCTGCTGACATCATCAAGGTTTATGAACAGTGTGTGTGTAGATGAGTGTGCGAATGTGCCTTCATTGTTAAATTCTTCAATAATCAGACCGTTTTTCTCTCCCTCTCTCTAAACACAGGCTTTTGCCTGATGTGCCCCGAAGGCTTTCACATGTAGAGTCAGTAACAAATTAGGCCCAACGCTGGGCTTTTTGCCCAGACTTCGCACTCCAACGCACACCTCCCTAACTACTTTGTGCCTCCTTAACCCAGATCTTCCCTTCCTCCGTCTAAAGAAAGAAACAGTTGATTATAACAAGTAGCAGAGGAAAACTGCACCAGCATGTGCCACTATAGAAGGAAGATTACCAACCTTCTCACAATGCTAACATTTGAGCAGTATACGAGCATTTATGCAGAAGTACGTGCATTACATTATTAATTTATAAAAAAAAACCAACGTGTTGTTAATTTATTGTTGTAGTTTAACACAAATATTTTTTAACTATGTTGAGCCGTTCATTTTCAAAAGATCAATGTTTTATTAAAAAGTTTGTGGAGGGGGGTGTAATTGTAAATGATGCACTTATTATTATTAATGAGTGATACAATTATTTGCTTTTGATTTACTGGATGTGTCTAAACTGAGGAAAGAAAGAACAAGAACAAAAGGAAGGAAGGAAGGAAGGAAGGAGGAATGAAAGAAAAAATGAAGGAAGAAAGGAAATTTTAAAGAAAAAAATGAAGGAAGGAAGAGTGGAAGGAAATAAGGAAGAATGATAGAAATGAAATAAGGAAGGAAGAATGAAAGAAATTAAAGAAGGAAGGAAGAATGAAAGAAATAAATGAAGGAAGAAAGGAAATTTTAAAGAAATAAATGAAGGAAGGAAGGAAGAGTGGAAGGAAATAAGCAAGAATGATATAAATGAAATAAGGAAGGAAGAATGAAAGAAAGAAATGAAGGAAGGAAGAATGAAATAAATACATGAAGGAAGGAAGGAAATTTTAAAGAAATAAATGAAGGAAGGAAGGAATAATGAAAGGAAGGAAGGAAGGAAGGCCATTTTAAAGAAATAAAGGAAGGAAGGAAGGAAGGAAGGAAGGAAGGAAGGAAGGAAGGAAGGAAGGAAGGAAGGAAGGAAACGAATAAAAAATCAAAATGTGGTTAAATCAAGTTTTTTTTAATCATTTACAGACTAAAGCACATAAAATGTAACAACAATCATCTGTTCATACGATGAGATAATACGTTGTTGATGTGTTTGACACACTGTGAAGGTGAGCTATGACTATCCAGGAGCATTGGTCTAGGGTTTTACAACTGCACCAAAAGGGAAAAATGCATCCTAGTTTCATTTAGTGAATACAGGGTGGGGGTGTGGGGTGGGGTGGGAGGGGGGGGGGGGGGCAGGTGGCAAGGCTTAGAATAGCCACTGAATGTCTACTTGATTGATTTTAGTCCCAGGACAGAGGTACAACTGCATATTCATGCAACAATTAAAGTGTTTCTTTCCTCTGGAGCCTCCATAATTCAAGCTGGCAGTCAGTGAAGAGTCATGTCTGCGAAGCAGCACGAAGGAAAATGTTTCAACATGGTTCCTGTTTGGGATGTACTTTATGACCAACTCAAGTGTGAACTGACATTAATTGTTTAATTCCACTTCCCATAAATCAGTATGCAAATGTCTCATTAAAAAAAGAAAACGTTGCAGGGCATTAACCCTTGCGAACATTCGACTGAGTGCCCGAACAGACAAGAGGAGAGGTGTTTCAGGTGGTGAGCGAGTTACGAGTCAGCCAGGGGCACAACAGCTCAGGACCTGGGAAAATCAGTGGAGCAGGACTCTTAATGACACCTTTACAACAAACCTCACTGCACCAGCAGACATTTAGATGTTCTGATCTGATGGACTAGGATATTGAGGTCATCTGGTCGATCTGATCGGCTGAGTCTGGAGACTGAGGTCACTCTGCCAATTGAGGAGGAAATAAGGTTTCCCTTCGCTGCAGCGTCTAAACTGGGAACACATTCTGTTACAAAGATACTTTGAAAACTCCCCCTGCAGTGGCATCTTCTGATTATATCACACATTTCGGTTAAAAAGCTTCAAATTTCGATGGACAATTACAAAGTTTAAGAATAAAAGACAGATGGAGATGTGTTACAGTGAAACCTTGGAAATTACTACCAAAAACCATATTTTTTAACATTTTAGCAACAAAATCCTATAATTTGCAACAAATTACCTTAATTTTAACCCCATTGAGTTTATTTATTTTATTCATTTGGATCCCCATTAGCCATTGCCGTAACAATAGCCACTCTTCCTGGAGTTCACATCATTAAAAAAAACATTTATTACTAAGACAGTTGCACACACTTGGTATAACATTGGTAACATAACATAATATGACAATTAATTCATAAATGTATAATTATAACACTTTATATAATAAAATAATTTAGCAGGGCTCTTTTAAAAGCTCTAGCAGTTGTTACATTTAACTCAGATGAAGGAAGAGAATTCCAGTTTTTTGTCCAGCGTTCCTGTTGCATGCTGGAAAAGTAAAACAACCTTTTAAAGCATGCCTTGTATTAAAATTGTGTAAAGTTTGGCTAAATAAAAGTTGATTATATAAAACATGTGGTATCTTAGATACCACAATGTTTCTAAAAAAGCCTAAAAGGGCAATGTCAACCTTGTTTTACCCAAAGGCCAACTTAATATTTTGTGCATACTGATAATATTTGTACATATGGAACAATTCAGTGCAAGACGAGCTGCTCTGTTTTGGACTAATTGTAGTTTGGTTAAGTATTTTTTTCAAGTGCTGGACCACACCATTGGACAATACTGCAATTGACTCAAGACAACTGCGTTAATAATTTGAGGGATTAATTTGAATGGTGTATAATGTAAACATATTTTTATAACAGCTATCCCATCACTGCAACAGTGTGTTCAATCTGCTGAGACCACCCCAATCTACTGTCCATAATAACTCCCAGAAGTTACCTGTGTAATGGCTGCTCCATTTATAGGCAGGTTTAGTTTT